TTAGAGTTTGGTCAAAATTCATCCACTGGTTCATGAGATAGTTAAGACAGCTAACAAACACTGAGCCACCTATAGTCATACATGAATGTTCACGCCAGTRTTTCRWATTCTTRTGGCAKCTCCAGTATTTACAYGACTCGTATTGATYACTGCCAATATTATGAATGTTTTTATCCCAATAACAGTCTWAAATCTCACAGAAAAACTGACCAGAACATTCTCTTTCCATCAATTAGCAGGTTGTACATAAACAATATAAGAGACAAATATTTTTCTTSTGCCCAGACTTTCTACAAGGTATGCCACATTTCACCACTGTAGTTTTTTTTCCAGCTCTCACTTTGTTAGAGCCAACAAACAGGATAACTCTCACAAAATACCATCAATCAGATTTCTACATAAACAGATGAATGAATGATCAACATTTTTTCAACAATTTCAATAAAGTTCTGCTGTAAAAATGAAAAATAGGTGAAGAAACGTTTTACRAAGGAGACTATGAAATGTTAAAACTTCAGGATAAAATGAGCAGTCCAGGGTTCCTGTGGAGGAAAAAATCCTTCACACTCTGACAGAGGAAACCACTGAAGTCATGTGTTTTAGTGAAGTTTCCTTCATTAACAACAGAAAGGCTGTAAAAGCAGAGATAATGCCACAGAGGCTCAGGCTGGGCTCACATGGAGTCAGTGCGCAGTTGTTGCAGTCCAGAAACACACGAGGAAGTTCAAAGTGTCATCCAAATCTTTATTCAGCAATTTATTTCTGTTCTTATCCAACAACACTTGAGTTGCAAAATAACGAAAGCACACGAGTGCAAATAAAAATGTAAAATATCTTTTAAAGTGTTTGAATCAATCACAGCAGCAAACAGACTGTTTTATTTTAGTTTTGACTCTAAGTGAAGGATTTTTATGATTCAGGTTTGTGATCAGATTGGTTAATAAAAAAACAGAAATAGACTTTATTTGTTCTTCAGTGAGAAAATTTAGATTGTTATAGTCGACCAATGAATGAGAAACTCCATAAGAGAATGGACACAATACAAAATAATGGGAAAGAACAAACAGATAATTAATTTGTTAAAGGTTATTATTCTATTCTTGTGTTCTTGTTTTTTTTCTCCTTAAAAAGGCTAAAAATAAAGAAACTCTACAATCCAGTACCTGTTGATGCTCCAGATGTCCAGAACAGAGTCCCAAAACCTCATCTTTCTTCCCATTTTTAAGTGTTTTAAGTGTTTTTGCACTCTCAGGCCAACATTGTAAATAAGAAACTGTTCTTAATGTTTTGCCTGTCGAAATAAAGGTTAAATAAAAAATATAATAAATCCGGACGACGAGTCTTCTGTTGGTGACCCTTTTCTTTCCTCGGCTCACTTTCAGTCCAGCTCATTTATTTAGAACAAATTCACAGAAAGTCGCCTCCAGAAAAAAAAGGCAACAAGCAGTTCAGATCAAATTATAGTCATTTGAATCCATTCATAATAAATGTGATGCAGTTGGATCTAAAACGTCAGTAAAACGTCGACAACTTTAACTTCAAGTGGTTTGTGTAAATTGTTTTGTTGCGTCAACAAGACATTATTGTAAAATCAAAAGTTTTTTTTGTTTGTTTTTAATGTTCAGTCCTTCTAGAGGGGAAGACTACTGGTGCTCAGAGTGTAAATAAAAAACAAAATAAAAAGAATAACAGTTTCAGTTATGATCTCAGGTAAAGTTCAGGTCAAAGTCTGGTTTTCAGTGTTCTACCTTCATAAAATACTGATTTAATGTTGGAAAATGCAGTTTTGAGTAAACCTTTTACAAAATTTTCCAGAGATGAATAGCCCTGGACAACCCCCCTAGAACTGCTTCACTCCACCGCTGCTCGTTAACATGAACAGGTGTTCCTCATTGCTGCCAGCAGACGTTGGCAGGTATGAGGCAGACGTCTGGTGTTCTGTTTCAAATGGATTATATAGTTAACAGTTTTAATTGGACGACCTGGTTTCTAAAAATAAAAATATCAGACAAAACTAATTTGATAATGTGAACGTCTGTAAATCGGCTGTGAGATTTAGAAAATTGCTTAAGGGGGAAACACCTGCAAATCCTGTCAATGGCACCAAATTGGCTACAGCTGGTCCAGCAGCGAGGTGTTTATTAAAGTTGAACGTTTTAATTTATGTATAATGAACGTTTCAGTCAGCTTGTTGCATGCATGTGAGCAGTTCGACGGTGAYTGAAGGCGAGGTTTTGTAAAGGAGGGTGAATGTGACAGAAGAGCTGCGCTTCGTGTGTATCCACTGGAGGGAGTAAAAACTGCCTTTTAACAGGAAGAAACCACAACCAGAAGCAGAACCAGGATCACAAACATCAGCACCAGCTTATTAAAACCTGCTGAAAACCAGGAGCAACAACCACAATTTACTGAGATTCTGACAAGTATCAGCTCTTCCTCCAAAAGCCCACGAGTCTCAAATGATGGCGGCACTGACAACACTTTTCATTGGCAGAATTTCTTTATTTTTAAAATACAATATTTACAAATGTGACACAAATTCTCTAAGTTGGGAAGTAAAACAACATTCAGTTCAAATAAGTTCTTTATGATACAAAAGTAGAGGCAAAGGCAGTTTGTAGGAAATAATCGAAGGAGGACGTAGAAATCGAGCTCTGATTCAGATAAAAGACAGTGACTGGGTCAAATTTAGTTTTGTGAATGCATAGTTTATCATCATCATCATGTCAGCCAGCTGTGTACATTACACATATACTTTAAATACTTGTGTTTCTGTAGATTAACTACACCTACCTGATCTGTTTTATGTGCTGCTGTTCAACCTGAGATTCTCCAAATCTCTTCTAGTTTTTCCTTTCAGTGCACGTCATATAAAATACCGATGAAAATGAAAAACTCCTTTCATTTTATGAGATTTGTTTCCTTTTTTTATTGAAATTTCTGTTTTTAATTGAAATGAATAAAATATAATATACATATATAAATTACTCAACTGTCTGTGTTTAGTGCATTTTGTTTCTTGGCTCAGACTAAAGTGACGCGCTTCATGAACACTAAGCCCTTTGCATTACAGCATTGCCCTTCATTAAAATCCTACATTAGGACGTTTCTTTTTGAAAACAGACTTCTACACAGCAAAAAAATTAAACACCTACMAAATAAATTAAAAAAAACAACATTCACAGGAACGCAGTGTGTGCAGATCATGATGCTCAACCTAAAATAAATACAAGTGAATCAAAACCAGATCACAAAAATAGACACTCATAGAGGTAAAAACAAAAAAAAAAACATTCAGAAATAAAGTGACAGATTAGATCTATTGAAATGGGGTTCTGAATAATAAATATCTTACCTGTTGTAGATTGCTCACTGAACCAGCTCAGATGTTTAACTCTAAGTTTTTGAGTTTAGAGCTGTTTAAGAGGTTTTGACATTAGCCATTAGCCCATCCGTCTGGTCCGGATTAAACTCTATTTTTCAAAGAGCTACCTACAACACTCAAAATATTACATTTTCATATATCCCCACTTCAGAAGATCTGAACTATCCCTTTAAGTGTGCTTCATGTTTTCAAGAAATACGACTCCGTCTTCATCTTCAACTCCATCGTCGTCTTCATCGACATGTCCAGAGTCAGGACTCATCCGCCTGGTCTACGTTGGACAAAACACTGCAAAAAACAGCAGATTGAAACAATAAAAAAAGCTGAAATTGAGGGAGAACACTTTTAAAAATGACAAAATGTGGGATAAATATACGGGGGTAAAAAAAAAAAGAAAAATAATTAATTTTGGCTGATGTAGTTTAGTGCCTGCAAACACAGCTTTTGTTGAGTTTCTTCATGACATTGCAGAGACTAAAATATAAATTGCAGCACATAACGAGCTCTAAGATCCCTGTGAGTCTATGACCTATAACAGGCCTGAGCTGCAGCTGATAACGGTTTATGTTTATGGTGGGTCACAATCCTGCACAATTTAGAGGTTTCTCTGCTCCAACACACCTGGTGTGAATTAATGGGTGATTAACAGGCTTCTGCAGAACGTGAAGAGGTAACTCAATCACAGCATCAGGTGTGTTGGAGCCGGGAAAACAAGTAAAACCACGCCGGACTGGACACCCCCCGGTTTAGGAGGAGGGAGGGGGTCAGACGGAAATACGCTGGGTGGCAGAGAGGGGGCGCTATCGCACCACGAGCAACAACACACATTGTAGACGTAAACAAACCTCTCCATCCATCGCTCAGACCAGAGCTGGTGAGTGAGGCAGGAGGACAGACAGGATGAAGAGAAGGACGGGAGGACAGAGAGAATGTGAAAGAAAAGAGACAAAAGTTTACACGAGGGCAAAACATAACACTTGAATCATTGCTGCATGATACACATTTTCTTGTTTTTTTTTTTGTTCTTTTCATTACAGAATGTAAAACGATCTCTGTGCTTCATTTTAGGGTTGTTTACAGATGCAGCCTGACTGGATGATGCCTGAAAATGATTTTGGATCAACAGCAACAACATATTAGTTTGACCAGACATCCTGTTCACATGCATGCGRGCGTTCAACACAGAGTCTGAAACATGTCAGGGGGAGTTAAAAACACGACACAAAGGTGGAGACGAAACAAACAAAAACTCTTGAACTGAGCCGACAGAGAGCGAACAGGGATGCAGGTTTGTCTGGTTAGAGACAATCTAATGCACGTGTCAAACTCAAGGTCCACGGGCCAAATGTGGCCCTCCGCAGCATTTTATGTGGCCCCTGAGAGCATCAAAGATGAATAAGCATTTGATGCTTTAAAGGCACAGTGTGWAGGATTTTGTCAATTCTTTTAGCCGAAATTGAGATAATCACTAATGACAATAATTAAAAAACATGTCTAATCATTGCAGACAAAGACCTTGTTTTATTATTTTTACCTTATAAAAAGCTGTTTATATCTCCATGGTTGCGGGTCGCCATTACAGGCAGCCGCCATCTTGTCTACGAAGGCTCATGAAGGACAAACTGCGGTGGCGGCGTCAAAAACGGTTTTAGTTGTAATACTATAAATGTAATATTTGTTGTCTGTCATTGTAGCTGGGATAATTTTACTTATTRAAGCTCATAATCTTACCACTTGAAACATCACTAGCCCTGAAGCTGCTGGTAGACATCGTGGTTGGAATTATCAAAGGTTTTTGACACCTGAGAGACACCGTAGCAACTCCTTTGCGTTTGGAAGCGGGGGGTGGGGGGGAGGACCAGGGAGGATGATTCAACCACTCAACCACTAGATGTCACTGAAAACAACAAATCCTACACACTGTGCCTTTAAAGCCAGCATTGACCATAAACTATACCTCCCATAATACGATTATTTTACCTGCCAAATTACAACATCCCATCACTAGGTGGAGCTGCACAGGGTTCAAAAATAGCCTGCAGTTGGTCATGTGTAATCTACATTTAGCTGTTTGTTTTTGCTAGCTACTTCTGCTGCAGCCTATTTGTACTGTGAAGTGGGAACTTCCCACTTACAAGTCGTAAGTTTAAAGTGGAATACCCCTCCAGTGGGAATTCCCTGTTAGAAAGTGGGAGATTTCAGAATTCAAGATGGCTACTCACCACAACTCATCAGTGAGCAAAACTTTTATACGTTCATTTATAATAATATTTCTGTATTATTTATTTCACATTTAGTCAGTCATACAGTCTTTATAAAATGATGTGTTAAAATGCTGTTTCTATGCAGGAAACACCACATAGAGCTCAGTTATTGTTTGTTAGCAGAGCTAAAAGACAAACAGGAGCAGAGCAACAGGGAGGTGAGACCAAATAAAACACACAGAGACCAAACGGGAGACAAAACTGAACAGACATCAGAAAGTAATTAAAAGCAACACACAAACATAAAAAAACATTCAAATTGTTTTTTTTTTCCTCCTCATCTTGACACTTCTCTTGCAGATATGAAAACGGACTAATTCATCCATAAACTGTCCAACTTTATACAAACATAAAACAATGATTTTTCTTGACAGTGTCCAGACAATACAACTGAGCACAGGTCAGGTTGTAGAAACTTTTTCAGCCAGGATCTCCTTGAACCTTTCACAAGAAAGACTGCACGATGACTGGAAACGTTTGCACAGGTTTTCACTTTCCTCGTGTGACTCGCACCGTAAAGTTTCTCACAAACATTCATGTGGAAGGATCCACCCCATCCTACCCCATAATTACCTCCGGTCGGCCCACAATGCATTATGGGATAGGGTAGGCTGAGAAGGATCCAACAGACACATCTGAGGGATGCATCCGGCGGATCCTTCTCAGCTTACCCTATCCCATAATGCAGAGATTCTTAACCCGTGGGCCGTGAGCGCCACCTTGAGGGCCTCAAAAGAWCAACAGTTTTTAACTTTGGGCCACAGAGGGCCGTGGGATCGCAATGATTTTGAATAAGGTGCAATACACTTTCTCACCACTAGTAGCAGTAGTGCACCACTCAATGTTTAACAACTTTTTTAATATGTAGAAGAAAAACCTTAGAAACCTGCTGAGAATGGAAACATATTTTAAATGAAAAGTAGAAGCAAAAATGAAAGTAACTCATCAAAAAACACCAA